ATCCTTCCAACTGTACATTCCCTTATTCCCTCCCACAGGTCATTAATCATCTTTCCAGGAATCTGCATTATKTACAGGGAAAAAGCTTGGGTTTGAAGAACCATATACCTGCCCCATAAAGCAAGGAGTTTTCTGCATTCCAGATGTAAACGGAGGCCCAGAAGAGGGGAAAAATCCARTGGCTCTATTGAGCTCTCTGTACCTGTAACCCTGTGTGCTCAGCTGTCCTAAACATTATGTCCTCCCGCTTGGCAGGAGCCTATTAACTCAAACCCACAGCCATTCAGAGTGTTGCAGTTTCCAGGCTACAAATGACACCTGTAATAGGGTGCAGGGCTGGTGAGTGAACTTGATCCGTGGTTGCACAGATCATGCAACAAGAGAAGGTTTCTGCTCTTTGTCTGACCAAAATGGAGAAAATTCATTCTTCTGGTAAAAGGAGGGAAGAAAAGAATAGAGTTCAGTATTGAGTTATCATCTTCAGGCTGATTGTTGCTATTTAAGTCATCTATATCCCTGGCTTTGTGTGAGTCAGRAGGGTCAAACAAGGTCTTGTGTTTTAGCCCTTAATGATTCATGTTCATATCAGAGGTTCAATTCCATTGGTGTTTTTCCAGATGGTCTTTTTCCATCTGGTCAAAATGCAAGAGTAAACAGGAATGCCATGKCTTTTGGAGGAAAAAGCGGAATTCTATTTTACAAGTCTACAGAATTAAATTCTACTTTTTTGTCTGCCATTCACCTTTTGTTCCACGTCACTTTACACAAAGGGAATTTTCTAGCCAACAAGTACCATAAGTTCATCTATTTTTCCTCAATTTTCCTGTAAAATGTTTTGTATCTCTGCTCTCACAGACAGTGATATTAATCTCTGGAAATTAAACACTTTTCCATCTCATATAAGGTGTAAATGTATGTATCACAATTTTGTTTTCTCATATWTAAAACTATCACGGTAGAAACTTTTTGTAAACCTTGAATTTAGACAATATAAAACAATGTACTTCACTATTTTGCCAACATCAAGAGTTAATATGCAGTTATGAGAAAAATAATGTTGACAGTGTATTCCAAATGTGTTTACAAACAGCAAGTACCAGTTTGTAAACACTAAAAAGCAGTCTCAGTTTGTAGGTACCTTTGTTGTTAAAGTCAGSATTGCAGTCTATGTGTGCCATGGCAAGACAATATTTTCATTCCTGGAGCTTTTTTTTGTTTTCCTACTCCAAAAGAAGCTATCCCAAGTGTAACTAGAGACATAATACAGTTATTTTAAATCAAAGATATTAAAGTCTTTGTGAGTTTATCAGGGAAACAATAAGAACGTTTTTATTGTGTTTACACTTTTATTTTTTAAACAACATTCAAGCAGCAGAACAGTTGTTTCATGTTTGGATTCTGTGCCTTTCTATTAGAGAAAAAGAAAAGCTACTTGTTCTTTCTACCCAGTCATTCAGCACCTAATGAGAAGCAGACTCACCTTGGAGATATTAACAGGCTCCTTTTGCTTAAAAGTTTTATGCATTTAAGAGTTTGAAAAGGCATTATAAATATAGTGTGTATTATATGAAGCAATTGCTTCTTGAGCATAAGAAAAGGAAAGTTTGGGAAAAGTTCCGTTGAGAATACTTCTTTTGGTAAAGGATTGGCCATAAAACAAATAGCCTCCCATGGGTTTAGCCTTGCCTGGAACAACAGATGTGCTGTGATAATCTCARGAAGATTTCTACACCTGAGAAAGTTTCCAAGTCCTTATTTTTTCATCCATTTCCCTTGGTGGCTTTTAAAAAGAACTGACAGTTGATTTTGCAGCAAGGAGTATTTTCAATGTTGACAACACTGTTTATTGTCTCTGTGCAAAGAGAGTGAAATCAATTTCTCATGAGTATTTGAGCCCTGGGGTCAATGGACTGAATTTCAATTATGGAAATTGCAAGTTACTTACACTTGTTGTAATTTAAGGAAAGCATTTCTTTMGTTTCATTATTTTTTGCATTTGGCATTCTGATCACTGCACTGATGTCCACACAGTGCTCCACCCTCTACTAGCAGAAATCTGGGCAGGCAGTTGTCACCTGCGTTGTTTCAAAGAGATGGTGTTCTAGTTTGCAAAGCAGGATGCTGAAAGCTGAGAAAATATCAGATCAAAAGGGATTAAACTGATGACCTTTACAGGGTGGTTAGGACCTTGCTGAAGTCCAGCATTTTTTAATATGCAGAATATAATGTGATTCCTTCAACTATAACATAGTAACAATAAAAATTGCTCATTTGGTGCAAATCAGCCTGAAAATGGGTACAAGAGGCAAAGTAGTTTTCAATGCACCAATGTGACATTGAAGTAAAGAATATGAAACTGTCAAAAAGACAATTATGAGACAAGCAAGCTATAAATCCTCTGCTCCTTTGTGGCACCAGTGGTTTCTCAGTAGGGTGACCCACAACTAACTGTTCACCAGTGGGCATTAATAATCCAAGAGGATGTACAATCAAGCAGCCCTTTTCTGATCGCCTTCCAGTTACTTCATTTCCATTTKTATGGCAGTTTGAAATATGTATACAAATACTATGTATTGTTACAGTGCATGAACAGAAACTAAGGCAGGCATTTCTATGCATTCACTTATTCTCAGATGAAGTGCATAWTAATGGCGATCCCAAATAAAAAATTCTGTGATCTGAAAATAAGAGGAACCTTTTTTGGGGTCAACTTTCTTTCCTGTCTTCTCCACAAATCTTGCATCCTTTTTTATGTAGTGCTATAACTACTAGGAAGTATTTTAAGGACCCTTTGGAGGATCATTTTGAAAGTTTGAAAAAAGATCTTCCAGATTCTACACACTATCTCCTTTCCTTCAGTTCAGTATGAGGAATGGCCTGGAAATTTTCACTGTGTATACTGTGTTAAAAAAAATTTAGAAACAAAGAAAAAAAGTCAAACTGGGCTGATTTTACTTTTCTGTTTCAAAAGCTGCTACGCATTTGTGTGAGCTATGCTTTGAGAAAGCAAAGTAAATCTCTTTGTGGGATTTAGGCAAGGAGAGAACCTGTTTCTTGGATTGTGTTCATACTTAAATTTAAAATTCATGTCCAARATCAGTACAATTAAAACTGAAGTTCCTGTGTGAACAGATACTCATGAACTTTGAAGAAGAAAAATACCTTCAGGATTTGGCTGTACCTGAGTGGAATGATGATTGCCATTTTTTATTAAAATCATTAATTCTTCCCACATCCTAGTTAAACTCCAAGTTTGCTGGTTTCTTTATCCTCCAATTCTGTTACTCAGGTCCTTACTCCACAAACTGTCACTTTATGAGAAAGAGCAGAGAAACACTGTGGGGTTTTGACAGTCCTGAATCAAGACTGAGAAAATATGAACAAAATACATTAATCTATTCTCTGGCCCCAGAGATTCATAACTGTTACATGGAGTAATAGATACATGTCTTGGCTAAGATAATGCATCTTCATTTTTCTTTTTTCCCTATTGCTGCAATGGTGCCATGCAATCTGCTGGGCAATGAGCCATGCAGTCATCCTTGGGGTGGTGAGAAATGTGCTGCCATACGTGGATGTGCGAGCTGTAACACTCACTCAGATTAACTGCTCCTCTTTTCTTTTATTGTCTCTTTTTCTTTTATTTATATTTCTTTTATTCTTTAAATGCAAAACATTTACCACTACCTGCATCAATATGACGTTGTTYKTTTATATTCTATTTCCAATTCTCTTTTTTGACATTACCATGGAGTATTCTACTCCAGCATGATAAATGATAAAACACCATGTACACTTACTGCTATTTTTGTTGTTATTAGTGTTATTATTAATAGCAATACCAGTGATTTTTTTAAGTGATGCTCATAACCCAATATCTGTCTTCAAAGAACAAATGAAAGAGAGTCCCTGTCCTCAAAGAACGTAGCACTCTAAGACAATCAAAYTGTTGAAGGGGATGGGCAGAGCAAAAACGATGACTACAAAAATCAATTCTTTTTATTATAGCCTGCTTGGAAAACAGGTGTGGTAAGAAAAGAAAATTTCTCATAAGAAAGACCAGAGACAGATACTGTATGGAGTAAAGCATGGAAGTGATAAGAAGGATTTCCAGAATAGCAGAAAGAAGTGGGAATGGGACCCACAAGGACCATGGAGTTTCATAAACCTAGAACTTCTGAATTACTCTTTTGCCTAGAGAAGTGGGCAGAATGCTAATCCTTTTRGGCCAAGACTATGATGAAGAACAAGAACAATTTTAAAGAACAGTTCTACAGGTGATATATTGAGAAACTTTTCCCACAAAGGTTACAGTGTTGTTCAAAAACTTTCAGTTGCTTATTTGGAAGCACTGCTGAGAAATTGCTTGTGTGACAGTGACAGCACTTTTTTCTCCTGGCAGGAGCACAGCACGAGTGACCTCTTGATATTAAGTTTAGTAAATTGATGTTCTTCTGTAATACTTTGGTATGATAAGTGTTCCATTCAGATTGAGATCAGAATATTGCAAGATCATTTGCATCCATCTGTTGCACTTCTGGCTATCTGACTCTGTTGCAAAGAGTGGTTCCAAACTCTTCAACAAGTTATTTCAGAATGTGTTTGATAGTTAGTCATCACAAATGTTTGTGGCATGTCTCAAATGGAATATTTATAGAGAAATAAAATGTTCAAAATGTATTCAGTCGTCTGGGACAATTGCAATTATTTTATAAGAAAACAAAGCAAAATTTTTTAAGGTCATTAGGAACTCGAGACTGTCCATTTCACATTCAAAAGAAAGGTTGTTAATATTGTTTRTTGAATTACAGTCAATAAAACATTTGAAAGTCTCTTCATTAAGATTATGAGAGTATCCAGTTGTAGAAGAGACATCTGATATTTGTCCAAACTGGGCTGTAGGAAATGAGGTATCTGTAACACAGGAAAAGCAAATGCTCCGTTGCCATCTGTGTAATGGAGTGGGTAAGACTGTGCTAAGAAGAGTGCTCTTTGTGCAGCTTCCACAGATGACAGTGCAGCAGAGAAGAAGGGCGGAACACTTCACGCTGGGTTAATCGTTGGCATTCTGGTGCTGGTGCTGGTTGTGGCTGCAGCCATCCTCGTGACYGCCTACATGTATCATCATCCAACGTCAGCAGCGAGTCTCTTCTTCATAGAGGTAAGGCCAGAGTAACGTGTCCTTAGTCCTGTCGCTTGGCTAGGATCTTTGGGATCTCCAAAACAGATTTTTCTTAACTAAATCAGAAAGTTTCTGTGGGTGTATGGTGCAATCTTTGAAGAAATGGACCTCTCCTAGCAGGTGATGTTGTTTTGTTCTTAGCATGTTTGTCACTGAGCTCCATTAACTACCATTGCTATTAATTTTGTTGCTTTTAGTCTTGACATACATCTAAGAAATATATCTCAGGTACCACTCCACATCTCTTTCCTATCCTTCATTTTCCTCACAACAGCATTTTTCCATTACCTTCCTTGTGCACTGTCATTTTATTTTGGARCATATTGTTCTTTCATTATTTTCCTGTGGGGGGAAGAAAAAAAAGTATTCTTAATTCTACAGAAGAGCTGATTTATTTTTCCAGTTTTTATCTGAAARTTTTATTAGCTGTTCCTTACATCTTTTAAAAGGAATGTTTTAACACTTTKTCTCAGAGTGTGGAAATTATTATTTTCACCTAATTTTTAATATATATMATCTTATTCTGCTCTTTCTATTAGTGTAGAGAGAAACAGACTCTTAGACCATGATTCATCTGACCTATTTGAGACATCTCCTTTAGGATTAGATAAATTGGCATTTTTCTTCCTCAAACAGAGATAGCTACCTTAGGTGCAGATACCTGCATGCTGACATTTAGCCAGTTCAGCTCCACTGTAGATGAAAATATGAGAAAAGAAAATTCTCCACAGGCATTTGAGTCTACAAAAACCCATGAATGCCTACACCTCTTTGTGGTTTCTTTTGCAGCTTAGCAACATTCCTGTGCCTTGTGATAAGTATAGATTTGCTGAACATGAAAGAAAGAGATGACTGTTCATAATCTCCACTTGTAACAGTCCCTTTCTGCTAAGAGCCAGGGCACTTCCTATGGGACAACAGTGAAGATGCAAAACCACTGGAAGTGTCACTAGGGACGTGCCTTAGGGATTGCTTAGGTAAAAGCCTGGACCAGGAAGATGTAGACATTTATTCTAAGTGACAGCAATGAGAATTGAAGTGAGACATGAACATGAACAGAGCAATTCATCTTTAAAATCATATTATAATAAATATACTTGTTAGATGGAATAGTAATGACAGAAATCAAAATGAATTGTTTATCAGTATTCCGGGCTCAATTGATGTAWCTGTGTTAACCATCAGGGAACAGATTCCATATAATAAAACAGTTTTCTCTCAAATTTATGCAGCGTTTCAAGCCAGTTCACTATTGATGTAGACRRACAAAATTCCACTGAAGTCCTTGTATGAAAGAGAAGGTTTTGTCCCTTTCCTATCTTCACACACAGATTAAATTTACACAGATTGAATTTCTATTCTTTCACTCTAGTAAAAGCAAGTTTATCTGTTGTGATGTGATAGAAAAGACTAAGTAAATGGCAGCACCACTTTTTAAGAAGAAAAGAATACCAAATCGCAATATACATTTATTTATTTGTGTTCTAAATGTAGTAAGGGCATGTTAATTTATTTATTTCATTGATATCATACTCATCATGCAAAAAGAGGTGCCGTAATCAGTGTTGTTAAACTCATTCCACTGAATTTAATCTTTAGATGYCATTAGTCAATCTATTAATCTGTTATAAGTCAAAGCTAAAATGTCTTTTAGCAAGCAATGTAGTCACTTAGAAAAAATAGAAAGACAAACTTTCTGTGTAAAACAAAGGAGAAATCTTTCAAAATAAAATCCATGCAAAACAGGGTATAACCCGCATTCTCTTTTGTTTACTCAGATGATTGTGGTGCTTGTGAAGAATCAACATTAACAAAAATTGTAAAAAGTGCTAGTCATGAAGGGGTGGTCTTTCCCTGTGAGTGGTACAAGCACTGATGCAGTGGGAAAATCACAAGGGATGGAAAAGGGAGTGACTGTAGTTCAGAACACTTATACAGATTTCAAAACTTTAAAACCATTGTTGGTATCATAAGCCTAGAATGGAACAAGGTAATCCATTCTGGAAATCCAGTTGCTTTCAATAAGTTTGATAATTCAATTTTCAAAGAAAAAAGTAATTTGATCAATTWAAAAATTATAAGTATAATGTATTCATATATTCTCCTGATCTGTAGGATTTAAATGTTTATAGCACAAAGAAGACAGTATCTTCTCAACTTTCCTTTTGAAAATTAAGTACAAAAAATACTGAGGCAAAACTGGTATAAATAGGCAATGTTGCAAGAAATCATTGTTTATTGCATTTGTGCAATTGAAATATATTTGAGTAAACTGTTACCGATAGCATGATAGCCCCATACCACAGGAGACAAGCTGCCCATTATTTATGGGAAATGAATGAAATATGGATCTGATATTACCATTCCAGGGAAAGAGCTCAAGAGGATTGCCATGGGCTTGGTCATGAAATGAGAACAAGCACATAAATATTTCAGAAAATAATACTGTTTTCTATGAGTATTAATAAGTTGCACAGTTAAAACAAGATGTGACAGATGGACAGGCAGCTCCCTCCTGCAGTTGTCTAAAAAACTACAAGTACACTGTAGTCTGCCATCAAGTCTTCAAGCCTAATCAAGGTCTGAATTAGTTTATTATCTTTAGCAATTAATATAACTCTTATGGCTGGTCAAAAGAAGGAACAGGAGCCTGCTGCATTTGTTTTTAGTTTTAAATAAGTTACTTTATGGAGGTATCATTAAACATAGCGTTCATTCAAAACTCTGTTTTAACTAATAGAGAAACTTCTTTTTACATCTAAAATACTGTCATGATTTGGTAGGTAAAATGTCATTTTCAATCAGATTTTGTTGGGTTTTTCAGGCTAAGCGCTGTATAAGGGATTTTTAATCGATTTGTTTTAGAATCGTGATTGGTTACTGAATAAAGAACAGCACAATAAACTGATCCTGTATCTGAGGCTTTAGGTCTCTTTCTTCCTTGTGTTCTCTGTAGATATCACCCAATGTTCATTCCTCACTCAGGTTCTCACACAGCTCATCTCAAATCCAGCTCATATTTGCCATGAAGTGAGCTCTCCCAGATAAGATTAAATGCACCCACACTTTGTGCTGTTTACCCTTGCACTGATAAAGACAATCCCTTGTGGCACCTCTGAACACCATTAAGTGATATCCTGAGTGCACTAGTTGGTTTCAATAAGCGACACACACAAGCCAAGATGAAAGCTATTGTCTTAGAACACAGTAACATTATTCTATTTATTATGAAAGCTATTGTCTTAGAACACAGTAAAATTATTCTAATATATTTTTGCCCTTTAAGTCTGAAGAAAAGGCTACCCTAGGGGTTTTTGTTCATACCTGTTCAGCAGAACACACATGTGCCACCCCACCTGGAATAAAAACAGCTATTTTGAACAAAGGGTTTGAGAAGTCTCAAATGCCAGTGCTATTCAATTTGTTTATGATAGTGTGCAATTTTAAAACAGTACCATCCAAGCAGTTCAACACATTTTTTAAAAAGTTCCACTTAYTCCTGGTTGTGTAGAAGATTCCAATAAAAATGTACTCTTTGCCTGTTTCCTCCAGCCTCCACACTAACGTGTTTCATTGTTTAAGTTGGATGCTTCTGTGGTGACCCAAAGACAGAATGAATTATTAACTTTTAAAGTCAAGGGAGCWTCAGTCAAAGTTCCAATGAATGCAGGCTCTTCCTAAGAGCTGAGTAAATATTGACTAAAGATTAGCTTGCAGAGTGGCAGAAGAGATGTGTATGCCTTGGTTTTCTATTTGCTTATCGTTAACCTTGCAGTATTTCCTCTCCAAATGCTGCCAAAGATTTCCTCTCTTTAACCACATTACATACTCTTACCTTGAGGAATCCTGTGTCTCTTGAGTATACTTTGAACTGATTTGGACTGATTTTTGAGAAGTAGGATACATGTCAAGTAATGCTCTTCTTGACTTTCTCAAAAAAGCGGAAGTTTATGTCAGAAAACTAGCTATAGCATGATAGGTTTACATAACCCACTAGCAATATCATGATTAAAAAGTGATTGATTTATTTACTAACTTATTTAGTATACTTGCATTCATAATGCAAGCTTTGATGGCCAAAAAGCCAATCACAATGTCCTAAATGCTGTGCATTGCACACCTGTGATGCAGATAATAGCTCATGTGATCTAGATGTCTGGAGCTGAATGTAAAGAGGAGTAAAGAAACTCTCAACTGAGTCAGATGGATTAGCTCTGATTTCAATGAGCTATRGGCCAAAATAGAGCTTTAGTTTTATGTTTTCTTCCTTTCTTTTCCCTCATGTTCTTTCTTTTTCCCTGTATTTTTAACCTCTAATTATTTACATATATATTTGAGCACTGGGAGCAATTAATGTCAAGGCAACTTTTAACTAATTGAAAAACAAGGTATAAGTCCAGCTAGTTTTTATTGTCTTTTGAATGTTTGCACCCAGTTATCTGTGGACAGAAGGGTTGCATATGACACAAGAAGTTTTCACTTTCAAACTTTATTTGTGGTATTGTTACCTTTCTTCCTTATATTGTGATCCAAAGTCCTTTTAAGGCTTTAAAATTATCTCAGCTGTCGTCCCAGTGCTCTRCCTTTGGAGACCAAAGGCAATAGGTTCTGGCCTAAGCTGAGAAGTGAAATATGGTGGGATGAGTGCTGTGACTGGGGTGGAATGTGTGGAAATCACAGCTGGAATGGCACAGTTGGGAGCCTCTGGATGAGAATCAAGGCACAAACAAATAATGCAGATGTAATCATGGGGGTCTACTCTATACCTCCTGGCCAGGACAGTGACAAGTTACTCTCTGAGGAACCAAGGGACACTTCCAAATCAACTGTCCTTGTCCTTATGGGGGMCTTCAACTGGCCAGAAATTAACTGAGAGCATCACACAGCTGGTACAACCCAGGCCAGAAGATTCTTTAAAAGCCTGGGTGACAATTTTATGGATAGGTCCTAAAGGAATCAGCTTGGAAAGATGCCCCCCT